ACGGCACCCTAAGGAGGCCCTCTCTGTGGGAGCGGACTGGTCGAAGGGAGGTATTTGGTAGGAGGCGGTCTTGCAAATACCTAGGTCCATTGCCGGCAATAGTATATCTACTATTGCCGGATAAAATTATTTGTAGGGATTTGCAGTATGATGCAACTTTTATGGAAGATACCCAGTATTAAATGTTCCGCTGACTTGCAGTTCTTCAAACATTGCAGTCATGTCTGAAGGCAGAACAGGAGATATGTATCCAGTCTTTTACTGATTATGCTAAAAGCTCCAGCTCGTAGTCTCAGTATATTTCTTAAACTTCCACTCCTTTATTTAATATCTATGAGAGGTTTCCAAGAAAGAAGAGCTGAAAGCTAGTGTGATCCTGGTAAGCTTTATGAAAAGCAAATATTTAGAGGAATAAGCAGGCAAGGCTCCCCGGGATAGACGCCAGTAAATATGTCTGCAGTGTTCTGCCATGTCATGGGACAGCTTTGGAAAGCTTTTATACCCAACACAGCATGAATCATGGCTATCAAACAGACTCAATTAAAACTGTGAGAAACTAGCATCAGCCTTTGGAAGGCCTTTTCTGTGAACTCCTCAGTATCTCTGCACCTGATATTACTGCCCAGGTATATTCCCAATCCATGCTATGTTTTATAGCTACTGATTTTTATTCTAAAAGTTCAGTATGGTGTTAGCTTGGTTGTGGTTATACACTAATGTGCCCAGTGAAGTTGTCTTTGGAGATGTTAGAGCTGGCCCATGCGAACAAGTACTTTAATTGGATTAATGAAATATTTTCTGTGGGCAGCTACTGTTGAAAGGTAACCAGTCATTTCATTTGGTTGAGAATATAATGCCAAGGCTATTGTCTGAGGCTCAGTGCCAAGTAGCACAAGGTTTCTTAATAGGCACAATTCAGAAGGTTGGTTTTCTCCTATAACAGTGATGGCGAACCTTTTAGAGACTGAGTGCCCAAACTGCAACCCAAAACCCACTTATGCATTGTTGAGTGCCGGGCGGGTGTGGCCCATTGGGTGGGCGTGGCTGCGGTGGTAACGGCAGACTGGGTGGGACTAAAAAGTTCAATCAATCAATTCCAACTTTGCAAGATCTTTTCTTTTTCCTGCGAGAAGTTGAAATTGACTGATTGAACCTTTTTTTTTTTTTAACACACGGCGGCGGAGGCCTAAAGCGAAAAGGTTTTATAAAACCCAGCTGAAGGCCTAGGACTGGGGCAACGGTGCGCATGCCCACAGAGAGGGCTCTGAGTGCCGCCTCTGGCACCCGTGCCATAGGTTCGCCACCACTGTCCTATAAAATCAAGCAACATGGAATTGGGCTGTTTGAAAGAACACATTCCAGGCTTTTAAGGGTCCTGGAAATCCTTCTGTCCTGCCACTTAAGAGATATAGTAGAGAAACACGTAAGAAAGGACATTTTTACTGGCTTCTCTCAGACATTTTGAGGCTAGAGAGGTTTCAATGATTCTGCCTCATTATGACTGCAGTGCTTTAAAGTCGGAGGGGGGGGAAAAGGATGTGGATATACAAATAGAGCACTTGTTTGCAACATCTTAAATCAGTGCAATCTTTTCCTGGGATCACATGGCCTTTGACAGCTGCTGCACAATTCCTAAAACAAGATGCACGTTGTTTAAAAGTGTTGCAGACAAATGCTCCAAGGCCTCTTTTCACTTCAGATCTAAAATGTTATCTTCATTTTCCCACAGGTGTTAAAAAAAAAAAAAAGATTTTATTCAGGGAGGCCCTGGGGTGGGAGTTTTACCACAGGAGTGGATCGTTATTAATGTTTTGAGTGTGATCTCGTCCACTGATGTGTTTGTTGTCATTGAAATAAAACTACAGTTTCTTGACTTTGAATTCTAATCGTCACACACAAACATTCATTTCATCCGTCTCCAGCAAGAAAATTCCTGTCTAGTCACACTTAAGATGTAAGAGCTGATGAAATATTTATATGAAGTAAATGTCACGGTAAATAGTCAAACATGGCTTACATCCGCAGTTCAACCCTGAGGTACAAACTTTCTCTGGTATCAGTATGGTTTACATCCTTCAGAGGGAACTTGCACATATCTAGATAAAGTGTCCTGTACTGCCACTGAATCGCAGCCATTTTTATTTGAGTTCTTCCCACTTGGTTCTTCCCACTTTCCCCCTATTTTTCATGCCCTTCAAACTGCCCTGTCTCTGAAGTTCCTTAAAAGCCAATCAGGGAACCAAAGTTCATAGGAAGATTTGAGACAGGATTTGTCTCCAAATTCAGAATTCAGAGTTAGAAAGCTCATATCACCCCATATTCAGAATTAGCATGGTGTGAAGCAGAAGGATTAGCAACAGTTTAGAAACATGAAATGGCCATGTCATGGAGGGTATGTGGGAAATCACATAGTAGCAAATTGAACTACTGTGATATATTGGCTTCGGGAACATTTATGGAAATTAACTACACTTATTCACTGCATTAAGAATAATATAGAAATAAGCAAAGATTGTCTAACACTTTGAGGTCATGTTAACATGATCAAGGCTTCCCTTCAGGCAAGGGGCAATGGCTCCTTCATCAACAGATATTATTTGACTGATACTTTACGTAGAAACCATTTGATAGGTATTACTTGCTCCCTGTTTATCTTTTACCAAGCTCCTGAGAAGGAA